ACATTCCTTGCTGCACTCAAGCGTTTTTCTACAAAACGTCGAAAACTGTCAATAATGTATTCTGATAATGGTACCAATTTTGTCGGCGCCAATAATCAACTAAAATTATTTTTTAAACAAGAAACTACTTATATTAATCAAAACTTATCTAGTGAAGGAATTTCGTGGAAATTTATCCCACCTAACTTTCCACACTTTGGTGGAATATGGGAAAGTGGTGTTAAATCCGTCAATCACCTTCGTAGGGTAATCGGTGAAACTAACTTAAACTTTGAAGAATTCATTACAATATTGACTCAAATTGAACCAATCCTGAACTCCAGACGCTTATGCCCCATGTCTGATGATCCTTCTCCACTCACAACACACTTCCTCATTGGAGACGCTCTAACTGCTATTCCAGAACTAAGTTACCTCCAATTGCCTGATAACCGACTTCCCAAGTTTGAACAAATTCAAAAAATGGTTCAAATGTTTTGGAAACGCTGGTCCAAGGACTATATTTCCCAATGGCAATCTCGTTATAAATGGAACAATCCCAATCACGATTTATTAAAACCAGGATTAGTAATACTCCTCAAAGACGATGATCTCCCACCTTTGAAATGGCTACTTGGACGAGTCTCGGAAGTTTTCCCTGGTCAAGACGGAGTGACAAGAACTGCTACAATAAAAACCTAAAAACGGTACCTATCAACGACCTGCTAAAAAAGTTATGCATACTACCTATTAACGAGTCAATTTAAAGCCCTACGAGCTTTCAAGGAGGGCGATATGTTTAATCACAAATACCTATCTTCACATATTTCGACCAGATCTGGCAACGCCGACAAATTCACAACAAATTTTTCATGTTATAGTTTATCAACTAAGAATATTAACAAAAATAATAACTTTCAATGTGTTAATGTAGTGTTTATTTAATAATAAAAATACACCATCAACAATCTATTTCATAAGTTATTGTGTATATTTATGTAATAATTTGTAATTTAAATTACTGTAAACTGAATGTCTAATAAATAAAATAAATATTTATTGATATTCTCAGTATATATTACTAAGTATAAGTAATGTTTTAGAGAACATAGGTGTTTGTTTAAAAAAAAAAAAAAAGGATAAAGGGGATGTGGGGGGGCTTTTACTTTTTTCTGAAAACTAAAAAAAAATGGTCCTACGTCAAGAAACATGCCCCAGTTTAAGAAAAAAAATGCACTTAATTAGGTATGAATCAGGTATATTTACATATTTTAAATCAAACTATACATAATATCTCAGGTATGGCATTGCATTTCTAATTGTTATGTACAATTAAAAACAATCAGATTCCGTTCAAATATTATACTCACACTGCTTGAAATACGCTATCAATTCAAAGAAAAAATTTCAACAGCCTTTAAAAAGTAACTTAGTAAATAGTTTTTTTTTAAATACTTTCCTCGTTTCAGTTTGTAATAAATACCCAACATTTTTTAGATTTTTTTATTACTATTGTGCAGATAATAGGCGAAACTGTTTAAAAAAATTATGAAAGTGAAGGCAAGAAGTATTGCGGAACGTAAAAAAATTACAAACAGAAACGAGTTTGGTTTCCATACTAATGTTTATATTATCGAATCAACCAATATTAACATAGCAGAAAATCAGGATATTATTAATAGATTTTGATCACTCTTCTTTTTAATCTTAAAAGTAAAAAGTCTGAAAAACCGTTCAAAGAGGAACAAAAAATCGAAGTTTTTTTTGTAATAAATATCAGTCCAATAATAAAACTTTTAAAAATTTTAAGACCTAAAACTAAAATGACATACGTTGCCCAATAATTAAAAAATGTTGGAATAAAAGATCGGAAATTTATTCACTTTTTACGCACGATATTTTCCAAAAATTTCTAAAGGAAATACAAATTTTTCTAATTAATTATTGATACTCAAACTTTATGGTGAATTTTCAAAACGCCAGCGTTCCGATTTTGGATCCAACATATACATAGCATTTATAAAAAACAGTGAAAACGATTTGCAGGAAAAGATACCAAAAAAATGTTTGGTAACCTACTAAAAACTGTTAAAAAAACCTTTCTTCTTCTGCACCATTACTGTTGATTTCTATATAAAAGTTGGTGCATATAAACTTCATAAATATTAAAATGTTCGTACCAAATACGAGGAGAGTAAAAAAATACGAATTTGTTTCAAAATTAAAGTACCTCTATTTTCAAAAATAATTTGAAAAATTTCTTTAAAATCGATAGATCAAAAGAGAACGTTTCCTGTAAAACCTTGTCAGTGATTTTTTATCAATACCTTGTATGCCGACATTGTTGGGCAGGGTACGTAGAATAAAATAATAATATAAAAATAATAATATAATAATAATAATACAAGCAACCACGTCTGACGACGGACTATACGACTAGCAATGTAAGATGACTAAAATCTTCACGATGAAGTACAAAAAAAATGAATAAAACAACAAAAAATATTCAACAGTACTGCCACCTACACCAAGAGTTTAACTTTTTTGGCAGTGAAATTAAATAGAAAATAAAAATAATAATTCTAAACGGATATTTAATAATAAATAACTAGTGTATTGCATTGCATTAGATTTAAAAACGTTATTTCAAATTAAATATCCCCATAGAATAAAAATATATATAAATCATATCGCCTAAATCTTTCGAGAAACCTGGAGATCGCGTACGAAAATTCTAACGATCATAGCGTCTAATATTCAAAGAATATAATGAAAAATCGATTCAATCCTTATTATTTTTCAAAATATTCATTCCTAAAACGATTGCTTTATCTTAGCCTCGTAAATAATAAAATGAAAGCTTTGATAGAGTTGTAGCAAAATACGCTTTTCAAAAAATACGTTTTTTATATAAGAAAGCACCTAAAAATATGCACATTACAAAGTACCGAGAAAGAACAAAATTAAAAAAAAAAACAATGTTCTTTTATGTATCTTTGTTTTGGCCATTCGAGTGAATGTGTCATTTCTGCTTCTGCCTGAACAACTTTTACAGATCTTTCTATGGTACAGATGTAAGTTGCATTTTTAAGGCAAGGCACCAGGTAGACCAATAATTTTTAAATGTTATACAAGCTGTAATTTACTTTGATTTTGTCCGGTGCATCATTTGCTTAAATAATATTAAAAAAATTGCTAAAGACGTGCCTCTCTAAAAGTTTACCAAAATTATATTCGTATTGCTTCTTTCTCACAAACTTCAATGCGAGGGAAATTCCTAATTTACAATTATTTTTTAAATATAGAATTATTTTGGTGAATCCAAAGAAACCTGCACAAATCTTATGGAAATTGGCTCCCCGTCAAATTGGCTGAAATTTGGATATGTTGTTCGTTTTGGCATCCTGAACAAAAGTCTCAATGGACACAAAGCTCAATTTTGCTTATTTTGGCTCCTACAGAGCTCCAAAGCTCCATTATTTACTACTTAAAAAGGCAATCTCCTCGAAAGTTTAGTATTTGCTGCGTTAAAGAGAAGTACCTTCTTAAATTTTCGGAGTCGCTGCATTCAAATCCTATGCCAATATAATAATATTGACAGTTGACAGCTGTCAAACAACAAGCAATAATCAAAATTGAAAAATCCACATGTAAATATCTGTTTTTGAGGCAGCTGAGTTCAAAACTGATGTTAACAACTTGATATTGACAGTTGATAGCTGTCAACTTAAAGATATGCTTACATCTCAATTTTATCAATTTCAATTGTTACATAGTGTTTGACAGTTAGTTTACAGCTGTTAACTGTCAATATCCAGTTGTTAACATCAGTTTTGAACTTACCAATCTAAAAAACAGATATTTACATATGGATTTTATCAATTTTGATTGTCACATGCTGTTTGACAGTTAGTTGACAACTGTTAACTATCAATATCGTCTTTTTGACATCAGTTTTGAACTCAGCAACCTCGAAGACATCTATTTACTCAGGAATTTTGTCAATTTAGATTGTCACATACTGTTTGACAGATAGTTGACGGCTATCAACTGTCAATATCCAGTTGTTAACATCAGTTTTGAACTTACCAACCTGAAAAACAGATATTTACATGTGGATTTTATCAATTTTGATTATTGCTTGTTGTATGACAGCTAGTTGACAGCTATCAACTGTCAATGTTATTATATTGGCATTGGATTTGAATGCAGCGACCCCGAAAACAAAAGATGGTACTTCTTTTTTAACGCAGCAAATACTAAACTTTCGAGGAGATTTCCTTTTTAAGCAGTAAATAATGGTCAACCCGTGGAGCTTTGGAGCTCCGTAGGAGCCAAAATAAGCAAAATTGACCTTTGTGTTCATTGAGACTTTTGCTCAGGATGACAAAACGAATAACATATCCAAATTTCAGCCAATTTGACCGGGAGCCAATTTCCATAAGATTTGTGCGGGGTTCTTTATAGTTTTTAATCGAATTAATAATTATTTCATTAATGGCCGGTTTCTGAAACAGTAGATATCTGCGGCTGTCCTATCTCAAAACACAGTAACTGACATTTGATTCAAAATCGTTTTTTTAGTAATTTGAGGTTACGGGGTTTTGCTCTATCTTTTGGTATTTTTAAAAGTAAAATCGGTCCACAAATAAGGAAGATACGGTAGGTGCAAAACACAGTAACTGACATTCGACCGATTCTTTTCCCATTTCAAAACACATTACTGGGTTTTGAAATAGGTTTTGTAGTTACTGTGTTTTGATATAGGAAATCTGCTCCAATTTGTATAAAAAGTGCAGTCCCCACCATAACAATTACCCTGTAACTGCTAGCAATCCACGCTTTTCAGCCAGTTAGACTCCAAATCTCAAGACGAGAAAACGCTACGCCACGAGAGCATACTGCCGTGTAGTTCCCGAACTAAAAACATTGTTTCTTCCGCACGTTCAAGCGTAAAGAAGCAGGTAAATTGAAACAAAATAATGTAATAATCTTGTTATATCTCTTTCTAAAAAACATGAATTCTGTTTCGCTGACTAGTATATTTTTATGAATTTTTAATTATTTTAGAATATCGATGACTTTCCACTTTTCGCGGCCATAAAATATGAAACATGTACATTTTTTCTATCTAATTTTGAAAGTCAAAATCGAAAGGAAATACAAATAGAAAAGTTAAAAACCTTTTACTCCTATAATAATGGTTGGTCTACAACGACGCAAGAAATAGAATACTTAAAACGTAGTCGCATTGAGAGCACCATTTATGACAGTGATCAAGACAAAGATTACTACCCGACATCTGATTCTAACTCATCATCATCATCTAGCGATAATGGTAGTCATGATGCGAATAAAAATATAAAAAAGAGAAAATTGACGGTTCTAAAAGAAATAAATACTTCAGAATCCTCCAATATTCAGGCTATTGAACCCGATCAAAAAGTAAGAGTTTTTTTTTGTTTAGGTATACAGATACATTTTCAGAAACACATAACTTTATCTGACTGATAGTTATTCTTTCAATAACAAAATGTACGAGAAACCGGCCATTACTCTCAAAATTAAGACAGACTGTTACATCAAGTGAACGGAAAACTTTAATAAACCTATAGGCTTAATGAGACTATTATTCTAACGTCTCAAAAACGGGAATTTACCTCACATTTAACTCACAATCGATTCTCTCATCCTTTCGTTCTCCTGTTCTCCTGTGTTCGTTTAGCGCAACAAATAAAACGTAAAACAAAAACTCGTTCCTACTTGGCTGCCTCCCTTTCGGGAGGCGACAAAGCCCTACGTTATGACACGTCGTCGTTCTGGAAGAGCCTCCTTTGCGGCTCCGGGGTGTAGTGAAAGCGGGCTCTGAGATGTTGCGGAGAACCCGGCACCGACGAACTCTCGGAGAGCCTCCTAGGCGGAGGCACTGGAGGCGACGGTGACACGTACCTGAAATACAAACGAGTATCGTTTCTTTCTGATATTATGTTTGTTCTTCATATTTCTCATACATTTTTGCATTTTTATTTTGTTTATTTTTGTACAGGGTGCGCCACGCTCAAAGAGTAAACTACCCAGACAGCACACGACATCCATTGGACGTCCATATTTTGTCCAAATAATGTCCTGGATGTCCATGAACTTCATATGGATATCCATTGGACATCCATTTTCCGTTATTGCAAAGAATATACCCATTCAGAAGTCCAATGGATGTCCAAAAAATGTCCATGATGGACACTATAAAAATAACAAACTTATAATAAATTATTATAATTCTTCTAGTACAATTTAATTATTTACAACTAGGTTTTAATTAAAATAAATCAATTATATTTCTTTACCTCTTCGCTACTGTTGACAAGATACAAAAGTAAAAGGCCATTCAGGCCAGACTCGAAGAAGAAAGGAGCTAAGACAAGAGGCAAGAACGGCCCACAGATATCACGAGTTTGTTATCTGGTAATAAAATAAGTATGATTAACATTAAATTATCTAAAAATCCAAAAATTATGTTTGAAACTTTATATTTTTGATTTACATTCAAAGAATCCCTTTCTTTTAGACCTGTTGTCAAATGATGTATCTATTTAAGAAAATAGCTTTATTAAAAGCTAATATGCTGCAAATTATTATTGTAACTAATAGAGGTGAGAAACCCTCTAAAGCAGAAGAAAAAATTTAAGTTTCTATTTATACTGCAAATATTTTTAAAGAAGCAGTAAGTTTTACTTTCATTAAATAAAATAGAATCATTTTGTAACGTTTAAGAAATAATGCATTGAAAGTGGTTTCATAAGTTATTTCTCTTTAATGTTCACAAATACATTTTTTTATTGCAATTTTAGATTCAACAGTTACTAAAGGACAAGGATGTGTATGAACTAATAAAAATATATTTTGTTGCCATAATTTCTAATACCCTCACAACATAATTCACATAATATGATTGTATGAAAGTAAAATGGTCATTTAAAGAAATAATAAGCAGTTTTTTGTTTAAATGTAAGTATTAGGGGTAAAGTACATTACGTGTGCTTACTTTCAAAACCTCATAAGTCCGTTTTCACTGTTTACGAGGTTTTGATACAAAGAGATTTAAAATATTATTATTTAACATCCTGCAAAAGCTTCTAAGGTTTAATTTGATTGTAGCGACATCCATTGGACGATATTGAAACCTAAGTCGTTGCAGGATGTTAAATAATATTTTAAATCTGTTTGTATCAAAACCTCGTAAACAGTAAAAAACGGACTTAGGAGGTTTTGAAAGTAAGCCGACGCAATGCATATTTTCATATTAGTTTTACATTTTTAACTATCAGTTTTGCCTGATCAGGCATTTATTAAAAGATTGATTGAAGACTCAATATTCGTATAAAATATAATGTCTTTTTTAGCTGCAACTCAGAGCAACAAAGTAAGTGAAATAGACTTAAGAAAATGGCGGCTAAGAAGGTCAACAGAAAGAAGTTCGTATAAAACCAATACATGCTTGATATTATTTTGGACAATAAAAATATATTCATAGTTGCAATTATTTTATTTCTTATTAATGTAGGTGGTGATGTCCATCAGATGTCCATAAATTGTCCAAAAGCAATACAAAAAGAGGCCATATATAGTCCAATGGATGTCCTTCGGTAAAATGCTAGACGTTCTTTGGACAGCCAATGGACTTTCGATAGACATCCAATAGATTGACTTGTGCTGTCTGGGTACAAACGATATTAAAAATTCCTTTGGCATAAATATACAACTCAACGGCGGTTACTAATTAAAATTAGTTTCATATATACAAGGTGTCCCAAACCAGAATATCAATATAGTTATATTTTTTTTAAATGGGACACCCTATATTAATGTATATTTTCGTATATATTTATTTCGTATATATTCGTATAGTTTCTTATATATTCATTAAAGTTGAAGAAAATACTGCATTCTGTCTTCATCCTCCTGGTAGATGTATATATTCGTATATTATCGTATAGTTTTTGTTATTTTTGTATATTTTTGTATGTTTGTATATTTTTGTATATTTCTGCATATTTTTGTATATTTTTGTATATTTTTGTATATTTTTGTATATTTTTGTATATTTTTGTATATTTTTGTATATTTTTGTATATTTTTGTATATTTTTGTATATTTTTGTATATTTTTGTATATTTTTGTATATTTTTGTATATTTTTGTATATTTTTGTATATTTTTGTATATTTTTATATATTTTTGTATATTTTTGTATATTTTTGTATATTTTTGTATATTTTTGTATATTTTTTGTACAGTGTGCCCAATTTAGATTGGAAACACCTTTGTAAAATTTGAAGTTAGTAAGTTAGTTCAAGAATTCGATAGGTATGTGCAGAAATTACATCTCAACACCTAAGGAATTCAATTGAAAACAGTCGTAAGCGCTGGGACAAATGTATCCAAATAGATACTAGAGGCAACTGGGATCTAAGTTGAAATTAACTTTTGCATCAAGTTAAAATATTCTAATAAATATTTGTTACAGTTGTTCAAATATTCAGTTTCATTATGGTATTATTAACATTTTTTTATTATTAATTATTAAAACATGCTATCTGTTGATACTAGGTGTTCTTATGTGACTGTTACCTTATTAATCGGATTGGTAGCATAGGTGTCTAAGGCACTCTCATTCATTTGCGAGCAATTTTGTGGCTATAGACACACTGGCTTCGAATCCTATGGAAGACCATGTAAATTTATTTGCATGGTTCTCTATAGGATTTGATGGATGCCTTATTAGCAGAAATTTAATTTCTGTTGATACGACGACGATATTAAAAGATAGCCGTGCATTACCGTTTCGATGATGATGGGAGGGGTTTTCCTTACCTGTAAGTGAAATGGCACTATCAATCATCTTTAAGTCGCCCCGGTGCGCCACGGCAAATAATAATAGCCGTCCTTCCCCGGACAAGCTTAGCTTTTGGGATCAAAATCCACTCATAAGGGGGTGAATTAGGGAGAGTATTATTATATATAGTAAGATCTCGAATTTTAAATGGTAGTAACTTTTTTATAATATATTTTTATGAAATTTTGGTCACAGCTCTAGGCACTTTGAATCCAGTGACGTATTAATTGTTTTAATAAAGAAATCGCCACTAAAAATTCTCCATTTTTGACTATGAAAAAGTATCGTATTATACACTGAAAACTGAAATAAACATTTTAAATTTTGTTCCATAGCAGATCGTTTGATATTTGACATTAAAAAAAAAATGGTTGAAATCAGTTAATAGTTTCAAATTTTACCAATCTAAACGCAATCTAAATGGGTCACACTGTATATGTTTCGTATATTTTTTCTATATTTGTATATTTTTTTCTATATTTGTATATTTTTTTCTATATTTGTATATTTTCTGTATATTTCTTGTATATTTTTGTGTATATTTTTGTATATTTCTTGTATATTTCTTGTATATTTCTTGTATATTTCTTGTATATTTCTTGTATATTTCTTGTATATTTCTTGTATATTTCTTGTATATTTCTTGTATATTTCTTGTATATTTCTTGTATATTTCTTGTATATTTCTTGTATATTTCTTGTATATTTCTTGTATATTTCTTGTATATATCTTGTATATTTCTTGTATATTTCTTGTATATTTCTTGTATATTTCTTGTATATTTCTTGTATATTTCTTGTATATTTCTTGTATATTTCTTGTATATTTCTTGTATATTTCTTGTATATTTCTTGTATATTTCTTGTATATTTCTTGTATATTTCTTGTATATTTCTTGTATATTTCTTGTATATTTCTTGTATATTTCTTGTATATTTCTTGTATATTTCTTGTATATTTCTTGTATATTTCTTGTATATTTCTTGTATATTTCTTGTATATTTCTTGTATATTTCTTGTATATTTCTTGTATATTTCTTGTATATTTCTTGTATATTTCTTGTATATTTCTTGTATATTTCTTGTATATTTCTTGTATATTTTTTTGTATATTTTTTGTATATTTTTTGTATATTTTTTGTATATTTTTTGTATATTTTTTGTATATTTTTTGTATATTTTTAGTATATTTTGTGTATATTTTTTGAATTGTGTATAATTTTTTTTATACATTTTTGAATATATATTTGTTGTGTATCATTTTTATTTGTAAATTCTTTTATATATATTTTTTAACATTTTCGAATCTATTATTTTTTGTACATATTTTGTTGGCAAGAACAACTCGGTTAAAAATAATCAAATAATCAATTTTAAAGTTTGACGTTCTTAAATATATTTATAAAAAGATTTTATTGCCTATTTCAAAATTATTAATCTTAGGAAAACTCTTACTAATTAAATTAGAATACTGTGTGTCCCAAAAAAGTAAGCCAATCTGTTAACCATAGATTTGTTAGGCCAGTGTAAGAAGCCTTTGTTATTATTTTCGATTGGGCACATCATATTTAATATACAGGGTGACATATTTAATTTAAAAAAATACGTTTTTCATTATATTTTCGTCGTTTTACTAAGTAGATGGCTTAAAATTGGTATATCGGAATTTTTGGGATGACAAATCATAATTATTTGAGCCTTAAAGAGGGGCTAGTTGCAAGTATATTGAACATGATGGCCCCAATCTAAAAAAGTAATAAAAAATCTATGGTTGACGGATTGGACTACTTTTTTGAGACACCCTGTATACATATAATAATGCCTGTATACATATAATAGTATAAAATTACATAAAAATATTTAAAAACTATTAAATAAAAATACAAATAATCCTCACAAACAGATACCCTTCAGACAGTGAAATTTATTCTTGATATTATGAATTATTAAAAAGCAACTTATGCCATTGTTACATAAAGTTAAAATAATTGGACAGCACAAAAAACAAATACAATACATAAAATATTGTTTTATATAAAAAAATATAATACTAAAATGAAGTCTTCGAAATAGCTAAATATTTTTGAAAAATAACTAGAAATATTGTAGTATAAAGCCAAAAGCATCCGTTTTTTTAAATCGAGCTTTGACATCTACGGTGTAACTGAAATGAGCCCGTATTCGTGATACACGTTAGGCTTGTTTATCAAAAATGAATAACTACGCTATCTCTGTATAGCGAACAATGGCCAAAATTCATTTATATTAATTTTGTATAATTAGTTCAATTTTGAAAAAATTCTCGAAAACCGGGGACGAAAGATTCCGGTCGATAGCACTTTGGGAGTACCAAATAACTGTATTTTCTTCTTCTCGAAAACCAGCAATATATTTGTTACATTTTTGTATAAATTTTTTGAATCTATATTTTTATATATTTTTTTAAACTTTGTTTTTTATATATTTTTTAAACTTTCTGTTTTTTATATATTTTTGTAAGGTAAAATAAATTGATAATATATTCTATTGTGTTTATAGTTTAAGTAGCTTACCTTCGTGATAGACTAGGCGAATTGCAAGAATGATTCTCTAAAAAAGTTCTACGTAGGGCTAGAGGACTTTGGTTTTCAACACTGGAATTCCGATTCAGTCGAGGAGGCGGTTCAGGACTCTGATGCCTCGAAGATCTACCGCTTCTATCCCCACTGAGTTGCAGTTTTATATACGAGGCGAATCTTTTTTTGCCTGAAACAAAATATTTCATATTAAGTTTGGATATAGCAATATTTTTATAATAGCAAAATATCTAGTAAAGATACCAACCAGACTCTTCTGCCTCCTTGACCAACTGCTGTTGCTTCTGTTGATGGTAAAACCGCTGCAGAATAATGGGGCTGGTATTTCCGCAATTATACTGACTCTCTTCCGTTTGAAATTGCGTTCTAAGGGGTAGCGGCGAGCCGCTAGGAGACCGCCATCTTGTTTCGCTTGCCACGCGACGATGCTGGTACGGATTCGCGGTCGACGTTGACGAAGATTCAAAAGGCCTTCTAGTGGGAATCGGGGTGAAAGATGAACCGGCATTGTTTTGTTTTTGCTGAAAGAAAAAAATACATTCAAAGTCGTTAATTCCAATGACATCATACTCATAGCTTACTTGTTCAATTTTGTTCTCTAGTTGCTCTTTCAACGAAGCCACGTGGTTCTGGTAGACCGAATAAGGCGAATAACTTCTAGGCACCTGATTTGTAGCGTCTTGCGACTGATTCTCCCTCTGGAAACAACTAAACCGCGACACGTGAGACGCTCTGGCCGTCGGAGGGGGCGACAGCGCTTCCGGGGGCTTCGGAGACGCCTTGCCGTTCGTTAACGATTGCGAGGTGGTTGCTGGCGAGGACTGTTGTGGTTGAAACGTTTGGCGAGATGTGAAGAACTGTCGAATGGTGTTCGCTGTTGAATTTTGTCTGCAAGAGAGGAAAATAACCTATTTTTTAAAAAGCTATTCATATTAAATCATGGAGGTTTTTTTATTTATTGTAATGACTCAGTAAAATATTGATTTTTTTTAAAGGAATTTTGAAAAAAACTAAATTTGTAATGTATTAAACAATCTGAATGGGAGTTTTTAATATTACTATCGTTGACAAATATATTATTTATCAAAAAAATCCGAAGACCAAGAAATATGTAATATATTTTTCTAAAACTTGGCGCATACAGTACGTTAACTTTCCAATAATGACTCCAGGAGAACGATGTAGATAAACAATGCTATTGAATAGACAGATATTTATTTATTTATTTAAACGGGATCAACCCCATTACAAAGCAAAACACATATAAACGATACAAATAATTGTAAATTAAAAAATACAAGTAACAAGAAAAAAAAGTTAAAATTACAATTAAATAAAAGTCAAATAAGTTTTACATTAACATATGCCTTTTAAGTAGTGTAAATCCGTCTGTAATATTTAATTTTTCTCCAGTGTGTCCGTACATATTGCCTTAAATTTATTAAAAGAAATGCCTGTAATCTCAAGATTCAATTGATTTATTACCCAAAGTGTTCTTTCAATAGGTAAATGCATGCCATAGTTTGTATTGTAAAATGGAACATATTTAATTGCCTAAAGACTCTATTAGGAATATTGAAAGAAATCATTTCTAAAAGTTCCGGGTATATGACTAGACCATTTAATAATTTATAGTAAAAATTCAAATCTGATATAAGTCTCCTGTACTTAAGTCGGATCATAGTCATTTCATTTAAAATCCTACTATAATTATGATCGGTTACCTGAATATATAATTTAATAGCACAGTATCTTAGACATTTATTTTGTATTCCTTCCACTGCTAGACAGTGTATATAATATTGTGGCGACTAAATTATAGAATCATACTCCAACTGAGGTACAACCAATGTTTGAAAAACTCTTTTTATGGCTTCTGGAGAGAAATCAGAACAGTTAGGCAATATAAATCCTAAGCATTGGGATGATTTTATTGAAATTGATTTATATGTTCAATAAATCTTAATTGTTCATCTAAAATAACTCCTAAATCTTTGACTGAGTTAACCCGAGATAGTTGCTTATCATTTATGTAATATTGTGAGTTGCACTTTTTGTTCTCTTTAAAAAAGCTTATAAAACAACATATATTAACATTCACCTGTAAGTTATTAAGTTCGCACCATTTAACTAAGTTGGTCTATACAACTTTAGGTCATCCGCGAACATTAAGAACTCACAATGTTTAAAGCGTTCTACTATACAGGGTTGGCCAAACCTCTGTCGTAGTTCTATAACTCCTACTATGCAAATCTTAACGATTTATTTGATGTATACCTGTCAATGGTGGCCAACACCAAATATCCCAAAACTATTTTCTTGTGTACAGGGTGGCCCAATAGTAAATTAGGCAAATCACTTAATTTTTTTTAAATGGAATGACCCAACTTTTTTTACAATTTTAGGTACTCTATGGTCACTAATACAGACCCACAAAATATTGTTTCTAACATCCTACACCCTTTCGCAGAAAAAAAAAATTACCAAAAAATATTACATTTTCAGACGCCTATTAAAATATGCAGTGCTCTCTCGAATTTGATGTTAGAATTTAAAAAACTACGATTGTATAAAGCCAATAGACCAAAGATTTTTTTGGACCAAGTTTGAATTTTTTATTTTGTATAGGGTGGTCACAAATTAATTTCACTTTCCAAAAATTTCGAGGGAAATTTTTTTAAATTTTTCAAATGTATTACCCTGTATTTCTATTCATCAACTGAAGGAGAATTTCATATCCTTCCACTTTCCTATACCTATCTGTCGCTGTTATAAAATAAATTCAAAAGGAAGAAAATTACGATAATAAAATTTATTTGAAATTTATCCTAAAACATAAATTTACATTTTATAAAAGATGCTCAAAATGTCTGCCATTTTCTCTAATGCATACATTTATTCGTTGGGCGAATGATCGAGAAACGTTTCTAAGCATATCAGGTGTAATGGAATGGAAAGCTTGCACTATCCTTTCTTTCATATTTTCAGGTGTTGTAGGTGGCGTAAGATAGACTAGATTTTTAATATAACCCCACAAAAAATAATCGGGTTTAGTTAAGTCAGGTGATCGAGCTGGCCATTTTTTTGGACCATTTCTACCAATCCATCTATTTGGAAACTTTTCATCTAATTCATCTGCCACTTCGCGTAAAAAATGCGCTGCTGCCCCATCATGTTGGTACCACATTGTTAGTCTTACAGCAAGGGAAATGTTTTCAAGTAAAGTAGAAAGATGATTTGCTAAAAAATCTAAATACATCAGACCATTTAAGTTGCCTTCAAAAAAATACGGCCCAATAACATGATCCCCAATTATACCTCCCCAAACATTTACACTCCATCTTTCTTGGCTATGTGTTCTGATGATGTTAGGATTTTCCGTGGAATAATAGTGGAAATTATGTCTATTAACGAATCCGTTCTTGTGGAATGTAGATTCATCAGAAAACAGCACTCTATAAAAAAAAAATGGATTTTGTTGCAGTTTAGTTTGTGCCCAGTTACAAAACACCATTCTATTATCAAAATCGGTGTCTTTCAGGGTTTAACATGTGTGATACATTTTTGTAATCAGGGTGTTAAACCCTTTCAAATGATATATCACATGACCTATGTTGCTATTTAAAAAAATCAAGATGGCGACCATGCTTAAAATTTTGTAATTATAAAAAAATAATTTTTGGGCTAAAATATGCGCAAATGTATTTAGTTGAAATCCTGAAATTTTGGGTTTTGTATGTTGAACCGTTTAAGCACTATAGGTTTGGTTCCATCTTTAACAGCAGTATATTATACTGCTGTATTTTTGCTAAAACTTGAATGAAATGTTATTTAAGTTTGTGCTGGTATTAAATATATATTAATTTTTTGGTGTTCGTATTTTTTTGATAAGCAGTGTATATTCATTTTATAAAAATTCAAAGATTACAATAAAATCTAACATTGAAAAACAAATCTAAATACAAATGTTCCATGCATTAAAAAAATAGAAAATATCACACAAAATATAATTATTTTAAATTGTGCAAAAAAAATCAAATTAAATGCACGTGTTAGGAGTTTAAAATATTAATATTATTAATAATATTAATAGAGTAACAGTAAATTTGATTCAATTATCAATGTATTAATTACTTAAACACCAAACGTAAATAAATCATAAACCACTGGTTGAGTTAATACATGCTCTTTTAACAACCAAATCGGAGATCTTTCCCTATGGGTATGTATGGAAAAATCAAGTAAACAACTTATTTTTGAATAAAGAAAATTCGTTTTAACCCTAGTACGCGTGAATTAGAAAGTTTTTGTTTTACTGCGACACCAGTTGCCAGTCTGACTCGAATGTTTCAGTATTTTCATTGTTGACACAGACGAATATGGTTCTCCATGTGAAATTATTCTAGGAATACTACAAATTTGATTTTTCAGAGCAGCAGTCGTAATTTTTACGAGCGTTACCGTTAGCATAATGTTAGCCTACCAAATGTATTTAGGCTTTAGTGGTTTATTTCTAAAAACTGTGTTTAATAAATCTTGTTTGTATATATTCTGATCAAATGGAATGTTTTGTGTCGTCAGCCAATACTGAACTTCAAGTTTGGACCAGGAATTATTGAGTGTTTTAAAAACATGCTATGATAGGAAGCATTGTCCATTATAATCGTTGAAGGCTCAGTTAAATTAAGAAATTGTATCTCAAACCTTTTAAAAAAAAATTGCTTAGTTCATTTCCCCATGATAGTATTGTTACTATTTGAAGAAAACACTAATTCTGCCCAATGAAAACTATTTTCGTTTCCAACAAATTGTACTTGTACTGGTGTATGACTTTAAAAAACTCAATCTTTTACTGGCAACATGAGGAAGTTCCATAAGACCCCGCCGGGATCATCTTTCTTCTATTTAAATTTAAATTTTTTGTTTTATTCCGTCAAATAAAGACAGTGGCGGCTCGTGAGATAGTGCCACTGTGCCATGGCACTACCTTATTTTTGATGCAAAAATATATTTTTTATCTTTAAAACGTCTTATCATATTTTTATTGTATTTTATGCATTTCTTTTTATATTCAAAAATTATTTGAAATGTGGCAACCTCGCGCTGCATAAATCTCCAAGCTCTTGCCGCGTACCAGAGTTTGTTCTAGAGTTAAAAGTGCAAGGGTTGTAAAAATGTAAAACAAAAACTTCCGAAAAAACATTAGCTATGCCTGAACCTGAACTATTGCCGAAGCCACAGGCTCTCGAAGGATCTCAACTAGGTTTAATTGATTTTTCGTTGTTTAAAAAGATCTCCAAATTCAATCTATAAAACGAAAATAAAAAAAAAGTAACGTACAAACCTACAGGATGCATTGATCTTCTGTCTAAAAAAAATCAAGAGGAACTACTCCATTCTCTTAGTGTGATTTTAAGCAAATTATTAAAGATTTCGCGTTTTTGGTGCTGATCCATTTTAATGATTTTAACAAGTTAAAAATTAAATTTATTTTTTGTCATGGTCATTGAAGAAATTTATATTGATATACAACTTATGAAACAAAAAATGATGAATAATAGTTTTTAGTTTTGTTGTTTATGATTTTATTACAAAATTGTATTTGCCTTTTACATTTTGTTTGGTTTGTATATTAGTATAATTTAATTAGTTTATTAAAAGCAATTTTCTGTACTCATTGTTTTGGCGTACATTGTACTTGATCAGCCACAAAAACCCGACGGAATTAAGACATTTTTGTGCGTGATTAACAATATTATGGTAGGTAAGTAAGTAAGTAAGTAAATGAAGTAGTAACGTAAAACAACTGGGAAACTAACCATGCAACATACCTAGGCGCCGCCCGATTTGACATTTCTTCTGAACGTTTGATCATTTTTACATACCACTCGCCTACATTCACGTTATTCACCACCTCATAGGTTTTGATGAATTCATGACTTTTCAACAGCGTGTACTTCGGCCTGTCTCTGGGATTTTTTATTAAACTAAAAAAACAAAATTATATTTCTTCAAAACAATCATAAATAACTTAACAGAAAACTTACCAAATTGATACAAAATCTCTAAATTCGGGTGTGAATTCTTTATCAGTCGGCAGTCTCGGCGGTTCTTGTCCTATCACCTTGGTGAGCACCTCAAAATCAGTCTTGCAGTCGTGATAGGGAAACACTCCAGTCGCCATCTCCACCAGAGTGATTCCGAGTGACCAGACATCGGCTCTAATATCATAATCTGGATTTTTTGGGTCTGGAGGTTCGATTCGTTCAGGCTAAAATAATCTTATTTATAACTACGTCTTTAGACAACAAAATATAACTAGTTTATGTCGAATTGTAGAGAAAATAATTGGTATAAAAAGGGCTTATTATGAATAATACTTATTTTACAGCATCTAAACTTGATAATACCAATTTTTAATATACCGGATGTCCCATATTATATAAGATAGAAGGTAAAAAAAAGGTGAACTCAATTGAACTCCTTGTCAAACCATTCCCTAGAAACCAAGCATAACATTTATTTTTCAAATTGTACCCCATGTTTCGCCCTCATTTCAGAAATATATTATAAACATCCTTTTTTAGGTTGTAAAGTAAAACATTATTGTGAAAAATTAGACCAGCATAGGAATTCTGTTATTAGATAATTCATTTATTTCGTAGGGGTGGTTTAAATCAACCCCTTCCCAAAATCACTCCCTTTTGGAAAAATTATTGGCCAACTTTCTTTATTGTGAACATTTTTATACAAATTTAATGAAAATGTGATAAAAATTTTTAGAAAACAAGTCACCCTTTAGAAATATATGAATTTGTGTTATTTAATTAAATACGTCTTATGTTTAGTCAGTCCAATTTTGACCATTAGACATAGAGTGAAAATTGAAAAATGTTAGAAGTAATTTCTAGATGGTTTATTTGAATTCGCCCTATAAAATACTTTTTTAAACCATACATACCATATTCTTTAAAAATTATCTAGCCAGGATGTTATAATTTAAATATATGAATTTATTTTTAATTTATAATTTTAACAAAAAACTTTACAATCTTATCGTTTTCATGGAATTGATATCTATACATTCCATATCTTTACGAAAGTTAATTATTTTTTTGTAAACAATATAAAACCATTTTAATTTCCAAGAAATTTACGTTTGCATTCCAGATTAATAATGGATCGCTATTTAGAATATTTTTTTACAAATTTTAAAAAATATTTTTATTCTCAATCAACAAAGTAATATCAACAAAAAAAAATACTCACCGCCATGTATGCAGCACATCCCGCACTTCTCGTTTTTGCCATAGAATCTACAAGTCTCCCACTAATTCCAAAATCGCATAATTTCACATTGCCCTTTGTGTCTAATAGTATATTTGAAGGTTTGACGTCCCTGTGCATGACATCGTGTTTATCTTTTAGGTAAGATAATGCTTCTACTGTCTAAAATAGTGAAATAGGATACTAAGTACCACTTACTGTATTCCTTCTAGGTGTATATGATATGCACAGAATAGATGAACAACACAGAAAGGAAACATAGGGTTACAGCTAGAAACCCTAGTCACTATAGCCATGCCTTATTGACAGTGGACCACTGTTCAAAGTACATTAGAAATAAATGTAGTTGTTGCAGTGTAGTTTCGATGAATTGGGCATTTCCACATACTTCGATTTTCTCTTACTATATGAAGAATGGTCGCATTGCGCAGCTTTCTGAGTGCATTGTAAAAGGAGGCAGAAAACTCCGCCATTTTGAACACTTACTACGTGTTGCTTACATCTTGGCGCAATAGTTTTAGTGGTTATGTTATAATATTTACCCAAAGTCAGTACCCAAAGATATTATTTACGAACCTACACTTTACAAAACCATTAAAAAATAATGAATATCTTGAAAACCTTGCTTTACTTGTTGATTTTATGCTAAATCTTTCCATTTGTAAGTACAAGTAACTACTTTAATTATGTTCCTATTGTTGTATTCTAAATAATTTTTATTTTTAAGGTCTCCTAGGAATTTCGAACACTTAACTTGAACAGTATTTACAAACCATTAATCAAATTGTTTAGAAATTATTTTTAGCTAAACTTTGTTGTCTGTTCTCAGCATTTTGAGGAAAATGCTTATTGCTCTTATGTAAAAAGGTATGTGTTCAATCATGAAACAAATTTTTGTAGAAGGCAAATACCAAGAAAATTGAAGCATTTACATCAATAGATAGGAGCATTATTAAAATCAAACGAAATAATATAAATAAACATGTAAGTAATATTGTTTACTTTTTGGATCATTTATATCATAATTGTTTTTATCTATTTCAGGTTTACTACCTCTGGCTCATCTACACACCTGAAAGTAGAGGTAGCCCACAGTCTCACTAAAAAAATAGCCCGTTTCTCTTGCACTGTATAGTATGTGGGTATTTCAAATAAAATGGTGTGTGCGTTGATATGGCAACCCTGTGAACCTGGTGGATTCAACAGGGTCAATGATGTAGATAGTTATATAGACTAATCACTAGTGATCATCCATGTTTTTCAAAATAAACATAAGCTTATGCCTTAAAGTAAAAAAGTAGGTATTATATTTTTTTACTATATTCAAAGGTTGAAAATTGGTATTAAAATAAATTTTTGCTAAACCGATTCTGATTAATGACACTGGCAAGGTAATGCGACTTGCTTTGAGCAATTTGTATAAATATAATATCATTGACCCTGTCAAAGCCTACAGCCAGCAATTTTGACAGGTCGTTGAAATGCCTAATAGTTTATGTTAGCGCGCTCTAGTTTTCTCAGAGTATCTCAATGGTGACATTCAAGATCCGAAATTTCTATCCCCTCTACTTCAAAGTACCAACTATTAATTTCCTTTCTGTGTTAATCTATTCTGTACAATCAGTAAAATTAAAAGCTAGTTAAAATTTATTAGTACCAATTAAGGTTTGAAGATTAACATAAAAAAAGCCTACACAGAACAGAAGGATAACAACTAAATAAAATAAATATAACAGTTTCAATATTTTATTCCTCTACCGTGCATTAACATTTATAAGCCTGATAAACTTCGACAGGACTTGAGACCGTTATATGTCTGAATGACAATTTAAAATTATTCACCGCCTAAACATATGCCAAAGTTTATCAGAGTACAAGGGTATGGTCCGATATTAACTGATTGCTAACCGTAACCAGAGACAACAGAGACGTGTAACTTAATAGGAAAATATGTTCGGTGGTCCATTTAAATTACATATATGACCCTCTTTTTCTTTTACATTGATCTTTACATATGTCTATCTCTCTCCAATAAAACTAACACCATTTTCAGAGGGCGCTGGTGTTGCTGGTTTTTTGACGTCGAAATATCGATTAAAAGTATTAAAACTGACAATGTTATGAATGTTGTTATGAACATGTGCATTTTATTAAAATTAATTTAATTTGGGCCCCGTATATTTCTTTTAGTCTGATTTTGTTGTTTAATTAATTTTCTTTGGGGGGGAATGTTTATTTTTGCATATTATTTTTTGCATGAAGCAATTTCTGGAACCAAACTCGCGTTTTTGTACACATTTCTTTCTAGAGGTAAGTAATTTCCAATTTATTAAGAAAACCACTGTATAATGTGTGTGTTTAATATTATATTACACAATGACTATAATTATTTTAGGTGAATTGGAACAGAGATCCATTGTTACAGCTACTTGTGTTCATTAAGTAGGTAGATGAATGTCTGGACAGCTTTAATGGCAGCACAAAGTTCCTATCTACTAGAAAAGTAAAATGTATGCTGAGTAAAAAATCTGCACATGTAGTATTGGCAAAGGACTTTTGAAATGATTAGAGATTAGCTATTTCTTACATACACCTACCTTTAACAGCCACTCTAAGGGAAGAAAAAAAAAATTGAATCACAAAAGGGCAGAATTTTAAATCAGGATGCATTGGAATATAAATTTGGGGACATAAGGTCGGTTTTGGATTTTATAGAGAGATCAATCTCAAGAAAAGTTAATTTATCCTGCAGAACAACCAGTAGTTTAAGTAGGATTTGCTATAACTTTATTAGAAATTTTCTTTGATAATAAATTGTAATATAGGTACCAATTATTGTTTCAAATGAAATTGAAAAAGAGTTAAATATTAAATTAGATTTTTCATGAGTAAAATGTTATATTCATTCGAACATTGTAAGGTAATCTATAATTAAGGGAATAGGTATACCCTGGTGGTGTAAGAGAAAGGTAAGGGGCAATGACAAAAAAATTACAAAAATGTATTTATCTTTAAATAGTGTTTATTATTAATAATATTATTTGCTATGTTTGAAAAGTACCTCCTGCTTCCGAACAGATCGAATAGATTAGCTACTAGTTGGAGAAGGAGAAGGGGTAAGCCTTCAGCAACGTCCTGTTTAAATGATGATAGTATGTCATCCTTCATTCCCTTTTAGAAGGCATGGCATATAAATCTATTGATCTTGATTACTATAAGAGGAGTTAGCAGGGGTCTAGCAGGTTTCAATCCAGTTTACAGGATGGGAACTTACTTAACTCGGGCCTTATACATTTGTGTTGAGTGTATGTGTGTTTCCATGGTTTCTATTAAAATAAACAGTCATAACATATCCATACCTTTTTGCCAGACTAACATAAGTGACATTTGTTCAAATGCACTTATGATAGGGCAAAAAGGTATTGATACTATACATTATAAAATATTTGTTACATTAGTTTTTAAATATATTATGAATATATAACAACTGCTACTTTCTTTGTAATTTGTCACAAAATGATACGAGGTACTTTCTAAACGAAGCAATTGTAGTTTGTTTTTCTGTACCTTACAAAAATATAATTTATAGAAAAAGAGTTTGGTGTATTATTTTTCCAAGTTTAAATATTTAATAATCAATAGAATTTTCAAGTTTTTTTTTAGCGAAATTTACAAGAGTAATAAAAACTATGTTCACTGTTTATATTAAACTGATTAAAACTTCCTTTATTAAAATGATTATTTATGTGATAAAAAATTTGATGTTATTGGAAGCTTTTATATTTTTTTAATATACAGTGAAACAATAGTTTTTGTTTCTCCTGTAAATTTGTATAGAAAAACTTTATTTCTGAATCCCGCTATTTACTAGTGGCGCCATCATAGACTGGTTGTGGTTACAATCGCCCAAATAACTTTTACCGAACAAAAAAAATACATTGAGTTACACGTCTCGCTGGATTGTCTCTGCCGTAACTAACCAGGATTTTTTGGTAGCAGTTCCTGAAAAAACTAATGCGTCACTTGTATGACAGATTGACATTCGACTTAATGGTAACTAAAAATTGGCGAGTTCGGATAGTCAGGGGCTGGAGCGGGACAAATTTTAGGGTGCTTTTAAATGACATTTAAGCGTGTTAAACTGTCACTAATCGGACTAAACCGAACGCTAAAAGGGTCGTTTGGAGTTAAAAGTGTTAAAGGAGTTAAAAGAACTTGGCAGACCGAACGCAATGTCTATACCAGTTAGTGAATTGACGTTTGAGACACCATTTTGAGGTAACTCTATCTCCAGGGCTGCCAGATCCAGTACGTTTGTACTGCATTCAGTACTTTTTTAAATTTTTCAGTACGTCAATGTTACGTTGTTAGTTTTAGTACAATAAAGTGACGCATTTTATCAACAAAATAGTCAATTCAGTACCATTTTCAGTACTATTTGGACATTTTTCGAATAAAGTAACGTATTTTATTAATGATGGATGATAGTTAAGTCATGTGATGAGTCAAATAATTTATTTGAAATTGAAATTTACAGCACGTTTGTCGATTGTAAATTTGAAAGTAAAATGGATTAAGACTTTTTTTTGTTATACATATTGTATAATTTAATAAAAGTGTTAAACCACAATAAAATCATTTTTGTTTCACTTGTTCCTATAGGGTAAATTTTTTGTAACTGTTTCAAATTTTTCTATAAAAGTTGTTTAATGACGAATGAATTTAAAGCTCCAGCCATTGTTAAGGTATTGTTCGATTTAGGTGTTGGTACATTTTCATAAAATATAGTTTTTTTTAAAAGTTGGTTATTCAGTACGTTTTTTTGAAATTCAGTACGTTTTAAAATGATTTTCAGTACGATTTTTCATATTTATTCTGGCAGCTCTGCTCATTTAGGAATTTAGGAATGTCAAGCGAGTGGTTAGTTTTGGACCAAATAACTGATATTTCGGTAAATATCGGACCATACCCTTAATTATAATGAACGTTTCTGCAAACAACTGTTAACGGCAGCATCGGAACTATACCTCACTTTTACCGAACGTACACGTTATTTTGGAGGTTATAATTGTTTTCATTTATGAGATGGTATTTTTTTATTCACAACCATTCAGATTTCATTTAAAATTGTTATAATCGCGATTCATTGACTGTCTGTCGCT